CACACACACACACACACACACACACACACACACACGCACGCACACACACACACACACACACACACACACCCACACGCACACGCACGCACGATATAACATGTCGATATGTCGTCGTAGAGACGAGGGAATTACAGATGCGTGACTGATTATCATGTTTCGATCGCCCACGCACATTAGAAAGGGAACGTGCGTGGCTAGCTATCACGAGCGCACGCTCATTCGCGCATTTTGCTATTTATGTATAGAATTGCGAATCGGATTCTTAAGTAATCGCCTGAAAAACCGCCCGTTTTAAAATAGCCACTAACCTCTTTATTTCGCACGCGGCGGCGTGATCGAATGCCGAGTCGGGGCAGCAGGTGTCACGAATCAGACGCCATTTACGACTGATTTCGCTCAACTCGTTTACCCGCCGGGCAATCACTGAGTAATCATGTACTGGGGGCTACTCCGCCGGCCGCGCTGGCTCCACGCGATCGCAACCCGAATTTGCGAGGATTCCTACAAATGAATTACGTTCCACATCGCATATTCCGGACGCGGCTCGGACTCGCACAGTCGTGTTCTCGCTCATTCTCGCGGGAAAACTCGCACGGAATGAGCATGCAGTGCGACAAACAGTGCTGATGCGAGGAGTGATGTGATGAGTTGATACATGACCTAAAAGTAACGGAATTTTCCGCGGGAACTAGTAAAGCGCTACCGGGAAAATTCGGTAAATTCCCCTTTAGCGCAAGGAATCATGCCGTAATGTGATTTCAAGTGCCGCAAACCCAATAACGCACTCGTCCGCGGCGCAAAATATAGTGCCGCATATGCGGAAAGGCAAATTTTGACAAAACATCCAACGCTGCTGCATCTAGCCTGACCAGGGGCGTGTACAGGGGGGGGATCCAGGGGGTCCGGACCCCCCCCCCTGCTCGCGCAGAAAACGCATCTAAGGGGGTCTAATTTCAAATTTTTTTATATAAACCCAGACCCCCCTTTGCGTGCTTGTAAGTTTGGCTTACGGTTAGACCCTCCCCCCTGGTACAAATCCTGTACACGCCCTTGCTGACGTAGCAGGATGGTCGTTGTACTAGCATAGAGTTATAAACCAGATAATCCTGGTAACTAACAATACACAGTGTGTTGTATGTTTAGGCATTTGACAATACACTGTGTATTGTTAGCGAGCTTTCAACAAAAGACTGTGTATTATTGGTGAACATCTTCTAACAATACACTGTGTATTGTAGTAGGTAGGCCTACCTATGAGCTTTCGACAATACACTGTTTATTGTTGAACACCTTCTAACAATACACTTCTTTCTTTTCTTTTTTAATTAGTTTACTTTTTGATTTGTAAAATTTATTGAAATTATTTGATTGATTTTATTGAATTTATTGAAAATGAAATTGAATTTAAATACACAGTTGTTAGGTACCTACTACAATACACAGTGTATTGTTAGAAGGTGTTCAACAATACACACTGTATTGTTGAAAGTGTATTGTTAGTTATCAGGATTATCTGCATAAACATAAATAGATAGATAAAATTTCTACTATATAGGGAGCTGCGGCACCATGCCTTAATGATGCACTTTCAGTAATGATAAAACGTATGCGTCTATGGGTCTGCACATATATTATTGTACATTAATGGTACGAGGTAGTATCGTGGCATGTCGTGTCGTATGGTGTCGCGTCGTGGCGTGGCTTGTCATGTCGTGTGGTGTGATGTCGTGGCGTATCATGTCGCGTGGTGTCGTGCCGTGTAGCGTCATGTCATGTCGTGCTATGCCGTGTTGTGCGGTGTCATGTCGTGTGTGTATCGTGCTGTGTCGTGTCGTGTCGTGTTGTGTTGTGTCGTATCAGGACGTATCGTGCCTTGTCATGTCTTGTCATTTCATACAATGTCTTATCATATATACAGTCAGTAGGTTAGACGCAAAGGAGGCTCATGAAGATATTTGTTTAGGGAAAAGTTGGTGGAGGAAAGGGTAAACGAAAAAGTAATGGACGAATGGTGACCGAGGATGTTATAGAGTAGGAGGGAGAGAATGAGAAGAAGGCGATACAGTGTTCGGTGCGGAGATGTAAAGCTGAAAGCAGAAGAAATCGTTTAAACGAGTTAGTGGGGAGGTACAGGAGACCAGTAGCCCGTCGCGGAAGAGATGAAGTTAATCGGAGATCAGGTAGAAATAGGAGGAATATAATGGGGAAGCAGAGAACAAAAATACAGCAGGACATAAGGATGAAGTAGACGCAGAGATGAGGATGTAAATATGGAAAGGCTGCATATAGAAGGATTGCTTGTGTTACTGTATGTATGGATGACTGTTACATTCATTTACGCGCCCTGTATCGCCTAGTCGGGATGCACCTTCTTCATCCACAGCCACGTCTTCTGCGCTTCCTTCCGCCTTCCTAATCTTCTTTGTCCTCAATACGTCCTCTTCATCTGCCCAACCTACCGTTGCTATCTTTTACCCCCTGCTTATTTACTCATTTCTCAGCAATGATTGCGTTGCAATAGGTGTGCAGTGACGGTAGAAATTGGTAGCTATGAGCGGGTGTGTGTGCTGGGTGTACAATGAAAGAGATAGTGGCTATGTGTGGGCTGGGTGTACAGTGAAGGGACAGTAGTAGCTATGTGTGTGGGTTGTGTGTGTGTGTGTGTGTGTGTGTGTGTGTGTGTGCAATGGCCGGGACAGTAGGTTAGATACGCGTGGGTGTGTGTACAATGACAGGGACAGTAGTAGCTATATGTGAGCTGGGTGTACAGTGACAAAAATAGTCTCGTGGCTGGAGTTCGGCGATCAAGAGTAAAAGCCTCTACGCTTTAAATTCTTCGTCTGACCGAACGACAATAGCCACATTTGCGCTGGGCCTAATATAATATTTGCCTCCCATGTAAAAACACGGGCTACACACACCTCCCATTGCCGGAATACTAAACGGATAATGAAGATTCTCCGCTCATCCCAGAGTTAATTAACTGCGCATACGAAATTTGCACGACTCATTTCCGTTGCTAAATAAGAGAACATGGATGAACGGCTTAGGTAAACATGGCAGCGTTGAGCAATAGCTGAGGATTCTACCCAGTTAGTGCAATTCGTTAGCAATCGATCGATCCTCTGCCAAACTCACAGAGGTCACATGTTACTGTCGTGACATTAATTGAATTTTAGATAACTGATAAATTGACGAGTTTACAGCGCAGAATCATTCGAGTAAAATAGTAAAGGCTTTGCGAATGTTGGTACTACGGGAACTGCAGATACTCCTGTTTTACCACGATAATAGGCAGTATAGATATATATTATATATAGATATTATCCAATATTAATTAATTAATTAGTTAATTAATTACAAATATACGCTGTAATGGCGAAACGTACATGAACTGGAAATATCCAGTGTGTTTATTTGATATTAATATCCAAATTTGAAGCCTATCAGCTTTGATATATTGATTTTTATATCAAAATAAAACGGAAACGTTTCGTATTATACATTCACTATAATCAGGACGTCAGTACTAAGCGACACAAGAGCCAGACAGATAGGCCCATATATTATTCTAAAATCGTGATACACTTGATATTTATATAATTGAAACCCCTTCTACTTAGAGTCTAAATAATCTTAGACAGTCAGACGTTTTTTCGGATTTACTCGTATAATATTCGTTAATTTTTAATTATTGACTGCAACCGTTTAAACTGTTGATAGCAAAAGCATGCCGGGCGTGATTTGAAAGTTAGAACACAACAGAATCGTGATCCGTTTGCTAGTAGTTGATCAGTAGTTGCCCTTTAAGTTTGACTTTGAAGGTTTTTTTTACCATTAATTACTCGCAGATTACTACACTCACCCCGAAGACCGCACCCCGTTGACACGGGTAATGCTTATGAGCTCCCACGTACATCTATGCTTATGTATTTTCATTGCAATTCAGAAATCCCCGTAAATAAGTGTGTGTGTGTGTGTGTGTGTGTGTGTGTGTGTGTGTGTGTGTGTGTGTGTGTGTGTGTGTGTGTGTGTGTGTGTGTGTGCGCGCGCGCGTTTGGGAGATTTCCATCGCAGGTTGTTTCCCGCCTCCGCCGATGGATTACATTCGCTGACCGTAACGGCGGGCGCCATGTTGGAAACGGCAGGCTCTAGCGAAGTCTAGCGGAATGTGGAAGAGATGAGTGCAGCCGACGCGGAATCATTTCGCCTCGGCGACAGCGAACCGTTGCCTCGTCGACCTCCTCGCTCTTCTCCTTGACATGCAGTCGAAGAACCCTCTGCAGAAAATTCGCTCCTCCTGCTGTTAAGAAAGCGCCGAGAACAGGAAGGTTAGGCAGTTAGTGTGCAGATTCATTCGTGTCTCCGTTGTACAGACGGTCTCGTTTCTTCCTCGCTTTACCGTTAGCAGATAATCGTCGCGCGTTATGGATGTTAAAACGAGGATGTTAAAACGAGACGCCGCTTACATTTAGTGTTGACGATCAAAATCTAAAAGAAAAAATCGATTCCGTTCATACTAATGCCGCATGTGTATAGGCATATGTTGTGTTAATAATTAAAGACTTTAATTTAATAATAGTTAAATACAAACGCGAAAAAACGCGGAGATTTCGTAGCATATATGATAAATAGTATATAGTCATATATGTGGTATAGCCGCCAGAACCAAGGATGTCGAATTTACATCCCATTGTCCTATAATCCGCCATATTGTAAAACAAATCTTAGATTTTTTATTTCTGAAAGGTCCTATAATTATACCTGCTTTATAGCGATGGATGTTATCTTACAGTCTGTTCAAACTTTAGGGGATCTTTACCGAAAAAATCTTAGGTGCCCTTCTGAAAATTTCTAAAAAAACAAATATGAAATTCGCCTGAACGATACATACGAGACACGACACTGTACAGCCTAAAGTGCTGCCCCTTATATCAAAGAGAGAGAAAGAGACAGGTAGAGAGGGAAAAGAGAGAGAGATGAGCGGCCGGTATCACCCAACAGGATGCTATTAGCCTAGAGAATGCGCGCTTGTAGAATGTGTTTAGCTGGTACCTGAACGATGTGTCGAAAGCGTGACAGCTTACTTAGTATCGTAAAAATAAAAATAGAATTTATCGCAACATCAATTTTTCATATTACCAGAAACGTAGGTGTACATATTGAGACCATACTCGTCGCATCAGATGTCTGTAATTGTCTTCAAAGTGGTGTCCGCGTGAGAGAGAGAGAGGAGAGAAGAGAGGAGAGAGAAGAGATGAGAGAGAGAGAGAGAGAGAGAGAGAGAGATGAGCTCAGTGTAGCGCTGTGTGCGTGGCGTTGTTGGACGGTCTCTGAATGTTTATATGTGATTGTGTTGCGTATTGTGCTGTGCGCCACCGTGTGACCGTTTGTGTGTGTTGGTGATGTT